ATGCAAAATAGCACAGCTGCTTTGGAAAAGGGTTTGGCACTTTCTTATAAAGTTTAATATACAATTTCCATATGACTCAGAAATCCTACTCCTAGGTATTCACTCAAGTGAAATGAAAGCTTATGTTTATTCAAAAACCTGTATGCAAATGTTTATGGTAGTTTTATTCATAATTACCAGAATTTGTAAACAACCTAAATGTCCTTCAACTGGTGAATGGGTAAACAAATGTGGTAAATCCATAAAATGGACTACTACTCAGCAATAAAAAGGAACTCCTGATACATGCAACAACATGGATGAATCTTAAATGTGTCATGCTAAGTGAAAGAAGCCAGACTCAAAAGGTAACCTACTACATGATTCCATTTATAGGACATTCTCAAAAAGATAAAACTATAGGGATAAAAAACAGATCAGAGGCTGGAGGCAGAGTTGACTACAAAGGAGCATGAGGAAATTTGTGGGGGATGATGGTACTGTTCTATATCTTGATTATGGTGATAGTTACATGACTGTATTTGTCTGTCAAAACTTATAGAACTGTACACTTCAAAAGGGTAAATTTTACATTATGTAAATTACACTTCAATTAAAATAAACAAATTATTTAAAACTTAAACATTGTTAAGTCAGTTTCAAGGCAACATAGCTATGTAGCTGAAAGGTAATTTCATGAGTGAAAATAACAAATACCAGTACCTTGATCTTATATACATTGATGACAAGAGAAGGTGAAGTATTATATTTATATAACACACCATGTTGCTAAATATATAACCACAAAATAGAATTATGAAATTTTAGGATTAGAAAAGATTTTTCATATCATCTAATTGATTTTTAATCTAATTTTACATCCTATCACATTCTCTCTGTTCATTCAGATTTGCCTGAATGCTTCTATTGATGCTTACCTCTTCTCTTAAGATGCTCAAAGAATTAAAGAACTGGAAGGGATCTTAGGAAATTGAGGGCTGGAAAAGCTACATGACTTGACCAGTGAGATATAGTACAGGGCAGAATGCAAATTAAAACCCCAGTCCCATACACTTTCCACTCCATGCACTTTTCCCCTTTTCCCACTTTATATGAGTGAAGAAATTGGAACCCCCATACACTGCTGGTGAAAATGTAAATGGTGCAGACACTTTGAAAAACAGTTAGGCAGATTCTCACAAAGTTAACCACAGAGTTACTATATGACCCAGGAATTCCACTCCTAAGTATATATCGAAGAGAAATTAAAACATATGTCTACACAAAAGCTTGTACACAAATATTCATAGCAGCATTATTTGTAATGGCCAAAAAGTGGAAACAAGCCAAATGTCCATCAACTAATGAATGGATAAACAAAACGGACAGTAAAATAAAATTTATTTATAAATAAAATGAAATAAAATATCTACTCTGTTAATGTCATTCAGCAATAAAAAGGAATAAACTACTGATATATGCGATAATATGGATGAATCTCAAAAACACACTAAGTGAAAGTAACAAAAGACCACATATTGTATGATTCCACTGATAAATGTCCTAAATAAGCAAATCTATAGAGATAGAAAGTAAAACTGTAGTTTCTAGGGGCTAGGAGGAGTGAGGAGTAACTACTTATGGATCTGGGTTTCTTTTGTGAGGGATAAAAAAGTTCTAAAATTAGATCATAGTGATAGTAACATAACCCTGTGGACTTGCTGAAACTATTGAATTGTACACTTTAAATTAGTAAACTGTATGGCATATGAATTTATCTCAATAAAGCTATTTTAAAATGAATAAACAAAGAGCTAGTTACTTCCTTTAAGCAGCAACAACTTTATGTAAAGGATTTAAAACATGTCGACAAGTTTGACACTTCTCCCATCAAGAGGTCCCCTCCCCTTGGACGCAGGTGGACATCTGTGATTGCCTCAACCAACAAAATATAGCAGAAGTAATGCTACATCACTTAAGAGGCTAGTTAGAAAAAGCCATGCAGCTTCTGCCAGTCTCTCTTAGGACACTTGCCCTGGGAACCCAGCCATCACGCTGTGGGGAAGCCCAGGCTACAGGAAGAGGCCTCTGGCCCTTAGCCCCAGCTGAGCTTCCAGCCAAAAGCCAGCATCAACTTGCCAGCCAGCTCTGTGATTAAGTCATATTGAAAGCAGATCCTCCAACCCCCAGTCAAGCTGCTGCAGCTGATGCCAGATAAAGCAAAGAGCCAACCTAGCTAAGCCCTACACAAATTGCAGAGTTGTGAGCAAAATAAGTACTTGCCATTATTCTATGCCATTAAGTTTTGGGGTGGTTTGGTATGCAACAATGGATAACTAGAATACCTCATGTACTTAAAAGGCTAAGAACAGCATCTAGCCCCCTACTCAATGCAGACACTTCTTCCTAGTAGGTGTCCATCCAACCTCTGCCTGAATGTTTTGACCAACATGGAGATCAGTTCTTCACAAAGCCACCCTTTCCACTGAAGAACAACTCTGGGAATTATGATCTGCCTTATACTGAGACTGGTTCTGTCCTGCACAATCTCTGGCCCAAGTTCTATCCTCAGAGGTGACCAGTACTGTCTAACCCTCTTTCTCAAGACAGGTTTGATTTTATAACTGAGGAACCTGAATGGACACAGATGTGTTGTCCATACTCAAAATCACAATTTTCATACCTATGCCATCATTTCTATTGTCTAGAAAGAGTATTGGTATGAATAACTAGAAAATGAAAGCTACTTTTCTATACTACTCATCTTCCCGTGATACTTAAATATTTCCTGTTTTAACTCAAAAAAGCCAGTCAGCTCTTCAAGGGCAGGGATAATAATTCTTATAATTTTGAGTTTTCCTTGGTGTTTGAGAACATATATATTGAACAATTTTCTTAGTTATGGGAGGCAGCATACAGATAACAAGGATAAAAGCATTTCCTTCCAAATGATTTAAACACAGATCTTACAATCCAAAAATATTTCTCATCATGTCAATGTAGTAATTGTACAATAAGCTTTTTTTTCCCAAGTCAGCAATAGAAAATGAGCTTCTTACACTGTTGATTACAGTATACCAGTTGTCATGACAACACTGAGTCCCCAAACATTCTTTCTAATTGAGACAATTTCTTCTAGCTTCAGTCCCCTAAGACTGACCCAATTACACAAGTCAAAACCCAAAACCCAGAGGGTGCCTCTCAATAAAGATACTCTGATTACACAACCTAAGGAAAAATCTAAACACCACTTTTCCAAGTTGCAAGGAAACTTTTCAGGCAATGCACTTTTCTTTTTTTTTTTGTACTTTCTTTTTTACAGCTAAGTCTTACAAGTTGAATGGTAATTGTCTGATATAACTTTAAAATTGTTTATGTTATAGTCCATGATCACATTAGAGACCTAAGCTTTTAATACAAACCATTCTGTTAATATACATCCAACGTATCTCATTTATGTTCTCTGGGCTGCATTTGCATCCCATTCTTTTTAAGGTACAATTAAAATCTTCTAGGAGCAAGCAAGACCATGCTAAACTCAGTAAAAGTATCACTGGACTAATACAGAACATTTGCGCACTACCCATACTGACCTCATGAGAGGTAAGGAGCTAGAAAAAAATCTTTAAAATCACATAAAATTTAGGAGGCTATCATAAATTAGAGGTACCCTAGAGTGAATTCTTAGTAATTCCAGAAGAAAAAGAAAAAATTTCTAAAAGAAAAAGCAATGTTGGGAAATGTGGTATCTCCACTGTCTCAAAATGTAAGCTGGTAATTCTTTCTCTAATAGTCCAGGAGAATTTTTAAAGGGGTTGTTTTCAGACAGAAAATATAGTATTTTCCACTGTTACATTATAAAATGCTTCTATCAAGTATGGATAAAAGAGAATTAATAAACAGACCATGCAACCCTGTGAAACAGGGGCAGAAAGATGGGGCTGAGAAGTCTGTAAAAAGCGTCCAATTTTTAAAATCTGACACTTGGAGAACCGAGTTTATGTGAATACATTCTGCTGGGGACTGGAAATCATGTGGGATGGTCTATGAAATCAAAACATTAGTAAGACATTTACTATAAAGTAGTCATGGATACAGATATGTTTATTAAGCAAGGAGTTAACTGTTCATAAAACTCATTTAAAAGTCTTTATTTTCATTTGGATGAGAAAAATAATTGATGGATCAAAGTATTTTACTAAACACAAATGGAGAACTATGTAGAAACAGGAAGCATTATGAAATTTATGACTAAGTGCGCTTTGTGTAAGACTAGTGGGCGTGTTCAAAGCTTTTTCGTTTCTGGCTACATAGAAAAGTAAAAATAAGGGCATTTTCATTCATGAAAGCAACAGTAAAATATTGCCTGGCTTATGCTGGTTATTTTCATCTTACGGTCTTAACACACATTCCAAGGCTGATTCCATTTTCATTATTCCTTTCGGGTAAGTGGAAGAGGAGGTCATACAAAGCTGTAGGTCAAACGGTCCACTTCGTCATTGAGAAAATTCATCAGTGGAATATATCAGGAGGCACCAAAGAGATTTACTGGCTAGGGCAGACAAAAGAGAAAACCACCACAGAAAGAACACAAGCCGCGAAAGAGATGAGATCAGTTCCATGTGTAACTCGAGGACTGGACAAAACCCCGCTCGGAGCTGCGAGTGAAACGAGATGTGAGATTTGGGGCATTCCGGGTTCTCCTTCCTTCCCTGGAGTCCATCCTTGGACCGGAGGGCAGGGTGCACAGAGAAGGGAAAGCCCGAAGTGTCCATCTGCCTGGACAATGAGCTCTAGGGCCCCTTCCAGCGCTGCACCGCCCTCCGTGGAGCCCTCTCTGACGCTGAATTTCACTGCTCCCCCAAAAGTCATTCACTCCGACTTCAACTACTCGCGGGAGAGAGCGAGCGCGCAAGAGCGGCAGCTGCTGGGTCCGCCCCCTCAGCGCTGCCCGGCCGCTGGGGACCCTTGCCGAGCGGGCTCGGGAAGGCTGAGACCAGCCACTACGTGACGTTGGTTACCTTCTCGCGCTGGTCCCAGCTGTACTGCTTCGGCCGCTCCTCCTCGCCCTCCGGCTGCGACTCCTTCTCAGCCTTCCGCCTCTTGGAGAAGAAGCAGCCCATGGTCCCGGCCCGCGGGGTCCCACTAGCCACTACTCCTCGCCGGCGCGCTGGCTTAGGCACCTCCTGGAGTTGTGGCGTGAACCCCGGGGGCCCGGGTCCCGCAGCAGTCCGGACACCACCCCGCGGAACCGCCAAGCCGCCCGCAGCCTCGGTTCGCCGGCCAGGCCCAAAACCCCTTCTCTTTTTCCTCTCAGTCGCCTTGACGACCCACCGCAGCCAATGACCGCTCAGCGCCCTGGGAGCCAATCCAAGTCCCGCGAGCAGCCCTGCGCGGCCTATGAAGAGAGGCCGACTTACGCACACAGCCAATCCACGCCCGGCTCCTGCGCCAGCCCCCAGGGGCGGGCCCGGTCGGCCCATACGCACTCACCGCCACCACCACCCCCAACCCTGCCCCGCCCCTCTTAGGACTCAGCGGGGCTGTCCTGCTGCAGGGAGTGCAACCTCCGCAGACAGGTCGTTTTGCCCTAGGTTCTCAGTTTCCAAGCTCCGTAGTTGAACATTAGACTTAAGTTTTGTGGTGCAATTGGGAGGGAACAGGAATTCCTGCTGACGCAGGAAGGGCCATGAAATTCGCATGCCTCACTCTTCGTCACCCATTCCACGACCCCACGTCTGGCCAGTGTTACCTCCTCGGGAAATTTCCCCAAAGACCTTCCCGACCCTCCTTGCCCTCTCTTATGTGCTTTCTTAGAATTTCCACGAATGACTCTAAAATTGAACAAGAACTTAGAAAAATAATTGTTTTTGTATCGTCTCCTTATTGGAACTGTGAATTTCTTGAGACCAAAAGCCCTGTCTTTTTCTTTTATTTAATCCCCCAAGCCTTGCTCAACTCCACACTAGTTGCGCAATAAAACGTTTGTCGAATGAATGCTTGCACACTAGTGAAGGAAACTACAACCTTTCCCTATTCTTTCCCAAAGAAAGTGACTAAAGTGGGGCGGAGGTGGTGGGGTGGGGGGAAGAGTAATGGTAAAGGGGTTCTCCTCATGGAATTTATAGCCTGGTGGAGGACACAAGCGTTGCCATATAAGCTATCAGATCTGTTCTCAGCAAATGGTATAGGGTTTGTCTGAAGATATTTTTAAAAATATATACTAAATATTAGCATTTGCTATACTTGGGTTGAATGTTACAATACACATGTATTGCTTGTGTAATAGAAAAGGTAAGTTGTTGGTTTAATTCTCTGAGCACAGTATTTTGGCATTTGGTCAGACATCAAATGCAGATTAGTTTAGGCTCAAATTTGGTTACCTTTCTGCTTTCCCATGCTTATTCACATCTAGTATATGCCCTAAATGAGCCTCTGAGTTAACTTGAGCATTAAGAATGTTCCCTTTTTCACTTCCTGCCTTTTATTGCACAATCAGGAAGAAAAGTGCATGTGCTCAAGTATTAGAAATTACTGTAAATTTAAGTTCCAGATCTTAGGCAACAGAGTCTTCACCCTGTGCACACTTTTTCTTCCTCAGAGTGAGATGAAAAGTCTATGTGAGCCTATGGAGAACAGTATGGAGGTTCCTTAAAAAACTACAAATAGAACTACCATATGACCCAGCAATCCCACTACTGGGCATATACCCTGAGAAAACCATAATTCAAAAAGTGTCATATACCAAAATGTTCACTGCAGCTCTATTTACAATAGCCCGGAGATGGAAACAACCTAAGTGTCCATCATCGGATGAATGGATAAAGAAGATGTGGCACACATATACAATGGAATATTATTCAGCCATAAAAAGAAACGAAATTGAGCTATTTGTAATGAGGTGGATGGACCTAGAGTCTGTCATAGAGTGAAGTAAGTAAGAAAGAGAAAGACAAATGCCGTATGCTAACACATTTATATGGAATTTAAGAAAAAAAATGTCATGAAGAACCTAGGGGTAAGACAGGAATAAAGACACAGACCTACTAGAGAATGGACTTGAGGATATGGGGAGGGGGAAGGGTAAGCTGTGACAAAGCGAGAGAGACACATGGACATATATACACTACCAAACGTAAGGTAGATAGCTAGTGGGAAGCAGCCGCACAGCACAGGGAGATCAGCTCGGTGCTTTGTGACCGCCTGGAGAGGGGGGCATAGGGAGGGTGGGAGGGAGGGAGACGCAAGAGGGAAGAGATATGGGAACATATGTATATGTATAACTGATTCACTTTGTTATAAAGCAGAAAGTAACACACCATTGTAAAGCAATTATACTCCAATAAAGATGTAAAAAAAAAAGTCTATGTGAGGATGTTTTGGATGAGACCCTTAGATGTTTTATATTCATAGAAGGTTAAAATTGTGATCCATTGCTGCGTAGTACGGTGGAGGAAACAGAGGTCCACAGCGGTGAAGGGACTAACCTGTGGTCACAATGAGAGTGGTTAGACAGGTTCTATAAAAATCCAGAGCCTGTGCTGTCCAGTGCTCCCTCCTCCTAAATTTGTTCCTTTCTGATTCATCTGAAAGAAAGAAGTAAAGAAGTACCTGCTTAGGCCTTCTGATGCCTATGGAGCTCTGTCCCACAGTGATGTTGTTCCTCTTAACGAACAAACAACAAAACTAATTTTAGAGAAACAATCCCTAAAACTCTCATAGTTTTGAAGTATTCATTAATGAGAGACTTAAACCTAAAACAAAATCTATATCCAACAGTGATCTTTTCAGGGACCCTTAAACAAAAGTGACAATAAAATCCCCTTTCTGTTAAATCCCATCTCACCATCACCCCTGACAAAAAGCATATGCATAGCTGAGAACAGTCATCCCACCCTGATTCCTCATGGCCTTTCTGTCCAAGTGCATACTACAATTTCTTTATATCTTAGTTCAGATTCTCAAGGGAGATAACCAGATAAACTGCTGGCCAATCAATAGAATGGTTACCCACCGGTCAACTGTGCACCCCTGGTCTAATTGCTGCAGCCACACGGATGAGTTCTATATTGCAAACACAAGTGGGAAGCAGGTCCTGGAAAGGGCACATATGCTGGCAGCCCTAACTCTGCAGAGTCCAGACAGAAATTGGTCGCTCCTTCTGCTTATATTCCTCCTCCTACTTATACGCTTGTGACTTCTTTTCTATAGAAAGCTACCCCTCATGATCAGCCAAACAGATAGATGTTAATCTGTATTAAAAAGTTGGGTTGTGGGTTTGCACCTGGCCACAGGCTCCAGACATGGTCTGGGTCCCCTGTTTTTCTTGACCACAGAAGTGACATTGTTACCTCTCAGAAGACAGTCCTGACAACATATATCTTCACAGCATGAATAAGCGAAGTACCCCAGCAACAGCGGCTGGAAAAGTCCCTTTCTTGAGTTGACCTGACACAGGCTTGCTCACTCTGCACTCACCTAAGGAAACACTTTGCAAGTGAAGGAGAAGGGAGGAGAGGAGTGTTATTGCTGTGTAACAAACTTAATGGCTTAAAACAATGATTATTTATTTTCCTCATGAATCTGCAATTTAAGCAGGGCTCAGTGGGCACAGCTCAACTCTGGTTTCATGCGGCATCCAAAGCCTCAGCCAGGATGACTCAAATGGCTGAATCATTCTACATGAAATCTCAGAGCCTCTCCATGTGATCTCTCTAGCAAGGTAGCCTTAAGTTAGTCATATTTCATACACCATACTGAAGGCTCCAAGGATAAATGTTCCATGAGACCAAGGCAGAAGCTGCAAGGCCTCTTATGATGTAACTTCAGAAATCACACATCACTTCCACTGGATTCTGTTGATCACACAGGGCTGGCCCTGACTCCCTCAGGAAGGGAACTAAACAAATGCATGAATACTGGAAGGCATAGATCTTTGGGGTGTCATCTCAAAGGCTGGCTACCATAGCGGGAGTCGGTTCTGTCAATAGTATTACATATGTACCGAAGAAGAGAATTGGGAGGTTGAAAAAAATTGTACAAGCAGATAAATTTTTTCTTTTAATAGATTTTTGAACCAACATCTCTTCTCATACTTTAACTTTTAGGTAGTTCTTACTGATTTTCTTTCACCCTCTTATCAACCAGTTCTAATGATTTTTTAAAAGCATAAAAATTGTGTGTAATCAGGTTATAAAGACTGTATATTTTTCCGACTGCTCTTAGCATAGGGTATCTTGTTCACTGTTGTTGGTAAAATTCTTAATGTAAGCCAAGCAAAAAATATTTGGAATTTAGTACAGAAAAGGAACAACAGAGGAAACAGACTTTTAACTCAAATAGGGATGGGGAGGGTGGAAAAGTCAAGAACGGAGTCTCAGAAGTGAATGGTTTTAGCAGCATAAAATAAAAATCATTCCAGTAACTTTTACAGCAAAGCAGTTCCAATGGAAACTACTTTAAAAAATATTTTCCGGACTAAAAAAATCTTTTTCTAGTGGAATTTCCATTTTCCAAACACTCATTTCAATACTTTTCAGGGAAGGGACAAACTGTGATAAAACTAAAACCTCAGAGTTAATCAGAGTGTGCTAGTTCATAAAATTTGTTTTTACCTTTGGGATTTTATTAATAAAAGAGCTACTTCCCATTTCACCCAAGCTAGGTTAGAGATTTTATTTCCTAGTTTCCTCTATGCATGTAGATTAAAAAAAATAAGCTCTCAATCTGACATCGAGAAGATTCCAACTCACAAAATTGCTACTCATCAACAGTTGTATAGTATACAATTCCAAAATAGTCAATAAGAAAGATTTGGGCAAGAAAACTGATGCCACAGACAGAAGTTTTAATAAAAGGATATTTAATAACATTTCCTATATCTTACATGAGTAAGTGGTTAATATCATATAGATGGCCAACACCTAAGCAGACCTGAAAGTCCCTGAGACCTTTATGAGTAGAATTTCTTTCCTACTCGCCCTTCCCCCTCTCCCCCGGTTCCTGACAAAAGTAAGAAAAGTCAGGGCTCATGCTAAATAAAATCTTCCGTGAGAGCTTCTTTGCTGGGTTTTGTACAATTCCCACCACCTCACCTCCCCACCACAAACACCCAGCTGCACGAATTAGGGAGGAAAACATCTCTTTAGCACTTCTTTCATTCATTCACTAATTCTTGTGGTGCTAAGAATAGCATCTAATCAGCAACAGTTCACTCTAAGACAGAAATCCAGGATTTGTAGGGTTTGCAGCTTATACAATTTAGGTTGGGTCCTTTCTAAGAAAAATAATACAAATTAT